AGGGTTAAATAAATGTTACGTATTTGTTCACCTTATTTTTTACGTAAATCATTTCTGTAATACTAAGATTGGCATATATATTATATACAATCGTTTTATAGTACACTAATTTTACGGATTAATTTTATTTTTACTACAAGAAAAAAATATGTAAGTACAGGTAAAGGCTAAACTCGTACCTCTCTGGAGTTACTTTTTGAAAATTTGAATCAGTCTCTTTTGAAAAAAATTTAACGAAAAAGAATAAAAATGTTAAAAAGTGCTAGAACGGAACAGTATATTTAATTTTTGCCTACAGGATCATTTAATTTTCTTACAATAAATAAATAAAATAAACCAACATAATGTATATCTTTTTTTTTAACTATTTACAAGTGATAAATAGTATGTAAGTGGTTTGAATTTATTTTGTCTTAAGAGTTAGAGTAGCTTGAAGCTAATCTTCGCCTGTCTGGTGCAAATGTTGTACATTTGTTCAATAAAGACATTTTTATTTTTTTATTTATTTTATACACATAAAGTAATTTCACTCAATTATTTTAAATTCATTTTATTAATGATTTATTAAAAAAATATATCTGAAATTAAAAGGTATACAGCGAGATGTGAATTATAAATATGTTTTTGTTTAACTTTTATATCGCACGGGTATTTTCGTCTTAATGAATACGTTTTTGAATTAACAATAATTAATTCCAGCATGTTAACAACTCTTTAATCTATTAATATTATTATAATGTACAGTTTTTGGAACTAAGAGAATCATTTTTCGAGCTTTCGCGCGTGGCTTTGATCTGCCGCACTTTTGTTGTAAAAGAATATTTTCTAAAAAGTTTGCCAATGTCTATAGATGGGAAAAAAACGATTGTGACACGAAAAAAGAAATGGCACCCAATATGGCATGGATAATAAATCGAGAGTAAAATAATATATGGAAATTTATTTGCAAGAAAAAGTTTTTAAATGTGGACTTTTTAATGATTCCGGATTTGATTATGTTGGATGCTGACTGAAGAAGATGGAATATGCAGTAGAGATATGAAAAAGAAACAATATTCTTTTTAAAAGTTCTCCTGATGTGTTGACAAGGTAACAGAGTAAACCCCATATGTTGTGCTTTTGAACTAACAAAGATATAACAATAAAGGATGGGAGATGTCATAGGTCCTGTATAGATTCATTTAAATTAGAATACTTAAAAGAATAGTATAATTGTGTGTCATCAGCATATAAAGGGTAATTACAATGTTTAAGTATATTTGGAAATTGTGAGGTATAGGGAGCTAATAATAAAGAGAATACAATAGGGTTTTGAGGTACACCAGATGTAATCTCCAACGGTGTAGAAGACATATTATCTATTTGAAAAATTTGTTTTAGCTGATAAAGATATGATTTTAAGAGAGACACAGATGTATTATTGAATCTAAAAAACTTCAACATGGCAAATAAAATTTTAAGATTTAAATTATTGAAAGCTTTTGAAAAATCTAATAGTATTAAGATAGAAATCTTGTCATTATCCATGGCCGTAATTAAATAATCTATAACATCCGCTAGGGCTGTAGCACAGCTATAGCCTGACCTAAAGCCAGATTCTTTACTAGGTAATATATTGTTCTCATTTGAATTTTCATTGCTCTCTCTAATATTTTGGAGAAAGCAGGTAAAATACTAATTGATTTTAAATCACTATATTCTTCAGGCAAAGTTACTTTTAGTAAGGACAAAACTTTTGCGAATTTCCACGATTCAGGAAAATAACTATTTTTTAAGCATTCATTAATAATGTGTGTAATAATGGGTAATAGAAAGGGACAACAAAAGTGTAAGATGGTAATATTTTTATCATCCATTCCATAAGCTTTAGATTTGATATTGTACATATTATTAACCAGATCTTCCGAAACATCATTAAAATAAAAATCTTCAGTAATATTTTCTTTGAAGTTGTTGAGGTAAAAATGGAAATCTATTTGTATAGAACAATTATTAATGTTGAAAGTAAAAAATTTGTTAATGGCATTAACATCTTTTAGGTTTGGAGGTATTTCAGTTTTTTTTTTCTCGATGTATTGATTTTTTTTTTAATTCTGACCATTTTTCCTTAATATTACAAGTTTGAAATTTAATATTTAAGTTAGCCCATTTTCCTGCTTTTATAGCTAGAGTGGTGTAGTTTCTTAATTGTTTATAGTAATCCCAATGAGTTGGAAGTTGTATTTTGTGAAATTTTTGCAACGCCTTATCTCTAAGCCTTTGCATATAAATAATATTATCAGTATATCTAAAACTGTAATTATGTAGCTATTTAAAAATTCTACTTTTTTATCAATGTTGTGACTAAAATAAATATAGGCATATATGCCAAATGATTTTGAAAATATGCATGATTAATCTTTGTAAGTGACCTATATTTTACTTTATTGTCGTTTTGAGATTCACTGTGACCATTTTTAAATTTGCCGTTTATTGCTGAATGATCCGCAACTAGATTATGATTAACAAATTCTGTACAGAAATTGATATTAATATAAGTAACAGATAAGTCTAACAAAGAGTTGCCCCTTGTTGGTTATTTAATTATTTGTATTAGATCAAATGTTCAAGTATCTTGTTAAGTAGAATCATCAATATCCAACATGTCTATATTAAAATCTCCTACACATATAATAAGTTTTAACTTGATTCAAAAACAATAAATTATTACCTCTTGGTTGCCCATATACAGTACCTACTGCTATTATTAAATCCGCTACATAAACCTTAGTCCATAAATATTCTATAACACCATTACATTCAGAAATGTTACATTACATCTTTGTTGCTCTCTTATATGCCTACCAACACCTCCGCCTCTTGTGAATCTATCTTGTCTAATAAATGTATAACCATTTAAACATTTAAATGTACCAAACTAATGTCTATTACTGGGTATAGTCAGGTTTCGATGACCCCAACAATGTCACATTCTGTATCAACAGCATAATTATGAAAATCAGTAAAATGCGTAAGTGATCGAACATTTACATGGGCCACATCATTAATTTTATTAGCATAGCAAGATTAGTGTTTTGGAAGTGGCTTAGGTAAGAGAAGAGAGAAAAGTAAGACAAAAAAGAAGAACGGAGGGAAATGAAGGATTTCGATAAAATTTGGTCCACTCAGAGACTGGTACGTAATGGTATTCTGATTATCCGCGCAATGAAAGACGGATTTTCAAATAAAAAAAAAGAATTAATAAATAAATAGGGGTTAGCTCATGTACTTTTATCCCTAAAAAAATCAGCTTGTGACACCAAAGAGGGAGAAGGCAAAGTCAAAATAAATTTTAATCTACACCATAAAATACATTATATTATTTTGTGCTATTGAGGAATATTTTTCGGTTTCTTTGTTTTAACTTTACGCATTAAAGTTTGGAATATATACCTTTTCCTCGTATATGCATGCAATTGTTGAAATTATGAATGAATGCTGATTTTGTTTAGTCTCGGAAGTAATTTTGTATTATTTAGGCTCCTGCCTTAAGTTGTATTTTTATACCTACTAAACTACCGTTGCCCCGCAGATCTTTCAGTTTGTAATGTAAATTTTCCTCTTAACAAACAAGTCGTTTTCAGAAACCTACTCCTACCCGTAAAATATTATTTTTAGTAAGTTAAATCAAAGCGGCCAACTATTGACAAATAATAATTTCCCTCAGTTAAAAAGATACTTTAAAACATCTAACTATATCCTGAAAGTCCAACACGATGATGAATGTCTTTTAAACGCCAAGATGCCCCCTCTGTTCTACGCCATTGCATTTGACGATAGCAGTGACGGGCCAATGACAGCAAACATGTGTGAAGATAACAAAAAATGACAGAAGCTATCGAGCGCAAAAGGCTGTGATGCGTACAAAATACACATCGGCGATGTCAAAATATTATTAATGTGGAAAATGAAGAGATTCGTGCATGTATTAAGGTATCGGTCGGGGTAAATAAAAAAGGTTAATGTCCTGTAGAAAGGAAGAGCGGGTGATTTTATCAGAGAGAAGAGGTTAAAGCAAAGCAGATGAAGCGACATTTGCAATTTTAGATACGTCAAGTCATTTCTTACATTAAAACAATAAGCGCACCCAAGTAACACAGTTATGTAAGGATTTTTGCGCCGTTGGTATAAATTTTATTAAAACTGAATAACTTACATAATAATGTAATAAACTATATACCGTTGTTTTTATTATTATTCGATTTTTGGTAGATATATAAGGTCTGTTACAATAACGATCCAAACTCAATCATTGACACCACTATTCTGCACAGTATATAGTTTTGGGTCCTAATATCTATTGCGCAGAATCCTGGTGACCATGATTGGTTTCTGATCGTTGTTGGAACAAACCTATAATTTATAACTTAATAGTAAACATTTTACAACTTTATAAAAAGATAATGTTAATAGGTAATTACAATAATCATTAGGCTTAGTAAAAGAATCGGTTTTAAAGTTCCAAAACTTCATCATAGTCCGGTCAAATTAGACCAAAAAATAGGAGTGAGGGTAGAAAAATTCCCACCTAGCCGAAAATTAGTAGGATTGTTCAAAACACCATTAAAAATGAAATTTAAAAAGTCCCCATCAATCCGGCACCTGGAAAAAAAATTACTCGGGGTCAAAGGTCACAAAAACGGGTTTTTCGCGATTTTCAGCAAAACGGTAAGTTTTATCACAAAATTAGTTCAAACAAAAATTGTAGATAGCAGACAATCATCTATAAAAAAATGTCTAAGAATTTTTTTCCTAAGAGCCACCGTTTCTGAGATATAACGATTCAAAAAGTTAAAAAAGTTGTAATCTTTGTAATATGTATAAATACACCACGTCTATACATCACTGAAGCTGTAATACAAATAAAAATACTATTCTATCGGTCAGTGTAACTTATACATATATAAAATAACTGGCCATGTTACAACATCTTAATTTTTCAGGAGAGGTAAAACAATAGTTTTTAAAATGTTTGAAAAACAAGATTTAGTTCAGTGTGCTGAAGTTTTTAAAAACAGTAATTCTACTCCACAAGAAGTTATCACTCACGGAATTCGCTTTCTTCTCTCTATGTATGGAGCTCCTAAAAAAACTACTTGTTTAGATACGTTTCGATACGCATGCTTAGTTAAAAATACTCGAAATAAAAAACAAGTACAATTAGCTTGTCTTCCTCCAACTTCTGCGGCTGCTCATCAACATCTTTTACAGGTATATTACCAAGTTCAAATGTGGCTTGGTTATCAGCTAGGCCCAAAAGACTGGGGTTGGAAGTTGGTCGACAATGCATTAGAACCAGTTCAAACTTTACTAGCACCTGCGCCGGAAAAACTGCTCAACACAATTTTTTGCAACTGTAAAAAGGAATGTAGTGCTAAATCTGGTTGTAAAAAAGTTGGACTGTTTTGTTATCTAGCATCCACTAATTGTTAAGGACGGTCTTGCTCCAATGTTAAATCATCAACACTTGAGGACTCGTTTGATACCAACGAGGAGACATGCGATGTATCACTATTCAGCCAATTTACATGCACACAGGATGAAGAAGAGCAAGGAGAAAAAAAAAGAACGAGGAGAAGAAGAAGAAGAAGAACGAAAAGAAGAAGAGGAACAAGTAGAAGAGGAAGCAGAAGTGTTTGAGAATTATGATTCCCACGAATAAATTTCCCTATTTTTTTTTTATTTACACCGCTTTTATCATTTAAAACCCTTGCCAATATCTTTTATTATTCAATAGTTTCAAATTAAATAAAGTCATAACAGATCCATGGAATAGGCCTACCGGGGAAATCAGGTTAAAAAAACGCGCTAAGTACACTACCTCAAAGGTGGAGTGGAAACGTGTGCATATTACGGCGAGTACCTACAACTCTTCTAAAAACGGTGGCTCTTAGGAAAAAAATCTTAGACATTTTTTATAAATAATTATCTGCTCTACAATTTTTGTCTGAACTTATTTTGTGATAAAACTGAAAATCGCGAAAAACCCGTTTTTGTGACCTTTGACCCCGAGTAAATTTTTTCCAGATGACAGGTTGATGACGACTTTTTAGGTTTCATTTATAATGGTGTTTTGAACAATCATACCAATTTTCAGCAGGGTGGGAATTTTTGTACCCTAGGATATCTAAATTGACCGGACTATCAGTTAAATATTTATTTTGACAATTTGGAAATCACTGACTATGCAGAGTATGGGTAGAACAAAAATAGATAGGTGTGAATTACCCGCAGGGAAAAGTTTTTTAATTTTTCAATAAAGTTTTTACCTCAGAGGTTTAAAATTAATATTTTATTATTTAGTAGGGTTAATATTGAGATTTTTTTGGGGATTTCCTAGGAATTTTGCATTCTATTTTTTCGGATATATAACCGCATAAGTTTTCTGAAATTTTAAAACCGATTCTTTCACGACCTTTTTCACGTTGTAACATATAACGGAAACCTAATACACTTTAGACGATCTGAGAAAGTGTCTGCATGCGATTGCATGTTTCCTCAGTCGATTCTGTACAGTAGTTTGTTAAATAAATGAAAATTTTCTGAAGTACGAGGTTGGATTCGAAATCTTATATTCTTCATCTCGTAAATTTGGAAATCACTATGTCAGTAGTAGCTCAATTGGTAAGAGCACTGTGAGTAGAATGGAAACAGGTAGGTTTGAATCCCCCGAGGGCAGAATTTTTCACTATTTCAATAAATTTGTTTTCTCCTTGGGGGTTCACAAATCATTTTTATGATTTTGTAATGGTATTATTGGTATTTTTTTAGTGTTTCCTGAGAATTTTTCATTTTAGACTTACTTCATACAAAATGACATTGCTTTTCACATTTTCGTTTTTGATATACTTGAGATGTAGATAATTTTTATTTTAAATACAGCTTGAGTTTATAAGTTATTTATTTATGTTTAATGATTCATTCATTATTTATTAATTAAAATTTTTGCTTTATATTATTGGATTTTGTACTTGTTGAATATATTTATTTCTAAAACTCTTATGTATAATTAACAATAAATATATATGTAACTAAAAACGGTAATTATTTATTTTATAATATTGTTAAGCTGGTTTTTGGTAACTCAATTTATTTATACTCAGCTTTTACAATTCAACTATACAACTGATAACATCAACGTACAACGTCTATCATAAAACAAAAACTCTGTCTTCACGATCATCGACTTATATAGCCGCCTTGAACCATCTAGAACTTTCTTGAACCGAATTATAGTTTTAGACATTTTTATACAATTCCTTTTTGTTCTCTTATTCGTACTTTTACTTATGATAACCGCAGCCCACTGTAGAGTGATGGGTGACATTCATGAAGGTATAATACCAAACATCATTGGTAACATTGCACTTCTTCTTTTATTTGTGCGTTTGCTATAACAGCCGCAGGCCACTTCAGGATGCTGGGTATCATTGATACCAGTAGAAGAAATGTGGGGCTACTAGGGCACTACTTCCAAAGTCTCCGCTAGTTGGCGCCACCTGTCAGTGGTGGTCAATTGAAACTCGGCTAAGTGGTTTGCGTCTCGGCTAAGCGATGGTTCAATGGGTGGCCTCCTCCTCCTACCCCCCTAACCCCCCTAGGCCTCCCAGCCAACGCGACCACCCATTGAACCATCGCTTAGCCGAGACGCAAACCACTTAGCCGAGTTTCAATTGACCACCACTGACAGGTGGCGCCAACAAGCGGAGACTTTGGAAGTAGTGCCCTAGTAGCCCCACATTTCTTCTACTAATACCTCCCTTCTAGTTATTCGTCACAAATAACTTAATTACTTGGACCTGGTTGGAGCTAACGAGGAGGATCTGGACCACGGTATGATGCTAACTTTTCAATGTGAAATATCGTAGGTTTACTTTACCCTGAGAGCTGAATACGGTAGATCAGTTCGTTGATTTTCTTGAAGACGGTGTAGGGACTTTCCAAGTTCCGTTGCAGTTTCTGACAGAGTGCATGTCGGCGCTTGGGATTGTATAGCCATGCTGGGTCGCCTTTCTCAAAATGTCTATATGTGGCATGTATGTCGATTCTAGCTTTAGCTTAATCGCTGTTGACTTCTAGAAGTTCCCGAGCAAATCCGTAGACCCTTTTTCTGCCATTGCATAAATTATATTTTTTACACCAATCTCCTATATCCCATCAGTAATTAACCCAATAAAATCTTTCCCAAACTCGTGTCAGTGTCCGTCGGGGCTCTTCCACTTCCGGTGCAATAGCCCATCGTGAATATACAAGTGATCCCATTGCGTCCAGTACCCTTTTATAGTTCCACTATATTTAGCTATCTTTTGTCAAGTAGGTCTAACCTTATTTTTGAGCTACTCCCGGACAACTTTCATGTTATTGTCATTTTTTGCCGCTTTCTCAGGCTTTCAAGAGTGATTTCCTCTTGGTTACCCTCTAACTTGATAGTTGTTACTCGAAAAGTAACTATTTGAACCGGTTCCTCTCGTTCTTCGCCCCCTTTACATTTTCGATTAACAGAAGAAAATGCCTGCATTGCTCTAGAGACTACTACTTCCTGGTTTTTTTCTAGAAAGCCGGGTGATCGGCTTCTCCGGGATGCATATTTGCTTTAAATATTTCTTGTTGGACTTCGTAACGGGCTTAGGGAAATTGATGTGACTTTCTCGCATAATTCCCTGATTCTCTATTTATAGAACCTTTTATAGGTTCTTTGAAGTGCTTTTATTTTGGCTGTTTTAATGCATATTTTGCAGGATTTTTAAGATTTGTAAGAGAGTAGGTTAAGAAATAGTAGTAGTATTGGCCTCTTATTTACCTGAAATCTAATTTCCCTCAGTTTTGTGCAAGTAAATCTAGATACGAGTTTTGCTGCTTCCTGAGGTGCAATCAGTTTTTCTCTCAGGGTCTTATGGTGTTGTACCCGAAGAGCTTGCTGCATTTCTTCATCTTGTAGTCCATTATCGAATGCCTGTATGCCGATTTGTTATTAAAAATATTTGGACACCTGTGGATAGGCCAGATACATCAAATTTTTTATATCGGCCTCAAATTTCTATAGATACTTCTTATTATGTTTCTGACCAAGAATCTTTAGCTGGCTGTGGAATACTTTTTAATGCTGCTGGCCATACCTTGGCCTGTCAACGCCTTATCTGAGACTTTTCGTCAGCCTTTTCTTTGTCAAGATATCCTTAATGAACTAGTATCCAAGCCAGGTTACTTTATTTTATCTACTTGTATACCTACGGTCTCTAATTTTTTAACTTAATAAAAACGAATTCCAATACACACACATAAAAATTGTTATCTTTCCTTGGATCAAATTCGGTAAAAAAATATTTATTATAGTTACTCTACAATTTTAGAACCTACTCTTATTTTATTAACACCTACAAAAGTTTCCTCATATCGCGAACAACCATCAAACATATAAAAACTATAAAGTCCCTAATTGGCCCTTTATCTACGAATTCTTATTCTCTTAGACATAAAAAATGTATACCTACCTTTTTCACATTTCAGCTGCGTAGTTTTGAGATGCTGCTGCCTATCGCATAGTAAATCTATGTGTGTATGAAATAGTAATCTGGACCAGGGATGTAAAAATGAGGCAGTGGCGTTTAAACTATTTTTCACAAATATTAAGCAAACAAAGTGACAACACATTAAATACCATAAAAATATATAAAACCGTGTTTTGCTATTAAGAACAAAAAATTTTCATATTTAAAACTGACCGATATTTGAGAAATCGAATAAATTAAAAATTATAAAAATATTATTTAAAATAATAAAATTTTGCCACATGCTAGTCGTACTTGCTCAGTAGTGCTTCTAATATATCTTATTTGTTTTAAACTAAGTAGAGTTGATAATAATTATTATGTTGATAGATTTAAGCCAGCCGCTGACTGATACAAAGTATCAGTACAGTAGAGCCTTCTTATTTTGTACAAAAAAGGTTGATTTTTCGATTTTTCTGAGCGTTGCTTTTAGAAATAAGTTGGGGCGGATAGCATTTTATACCATTTTTTCGAAAGGATCCTTGTGAAACACAACATTTTAAATAATAGGCAACACGAACTAACTTTTACTTATTTCAAAGATGACTAGTTAAACAATAGAAAAAGTTATCATGTAGATTTGGAAGATACATAGAGATAAATTTACTTATTTTTATTTATTTATTCATGGTCCTTGCCCACTTTCAGTACATAATAATGATAAACTAATAAACTTACAACAAAAATCATAAATATATTAACATGTACAAAATCGAAACAACTAATATTAAGGCTAGGGAATTTAAGTCACAGAAAGTTTTAACATCCTCACAACATTAGAAAAGCTTGAACTAAAAAATTCTAGACTACTTGCACAAGCATTAGCGCTTCGTGAAACTCTAGGCATAAATGAATTGAGGCCAGTATTGGTTCTTATGTAGGGCTGATGAAAACTGTTCATTGATCTTGTGCTTTTCTAGTTGGGGCTGCCAACAACATGCTTGAAATCAATGTAGGGCAGTCAACTATATAATTAATGAGCTTAATAAATAATTTCAGATCTGCCTGATCTCTTCTTATTATCAAATTTGGTAAGGAGAATGTTAATTTAGATCTTAAGTAATCAGCTACTGTCTTTCTTTTCAAACAACTTTGGAATGGAACTTAGATTACA